AAATTATATCCAGATCACTGACATCATATGTTACCCCTAGTTGCCCCATAGAAAAGGGAAACATCATTAAGCATAAACTCTCTTCACAAATGCTATCCTGTCATCAGTTATTTCATGCAATGTTATCTTTCTTTCCTCCCTATTTACCTAATGACTTGGCGTTGTTATTTATACTACTTCAGTGTTGATTTATCCTACCACCATATGTTCACTCACGTTAGATTTGATGATAATGATCTTTTGTGGTATATGCACTTTCATGCATTAATTATTGCCAAGATTCAGATGTTTGGCTTTCAGAAATAAAAAAGCAAGTTCTTTGTACTTTTTTATCATTCAGAAGCACAGACTCCTTTTGCAAAAGGAGGAGAAAAAAAAAGTTTTTGTTTATGAGAATTAATCTTTAAATAAACATAAAACTACAGAAGAAATAAGGAGGGTAAAGAAAAAAAATCTGTTAATCGTTCCCCATTTCTAAAAATTTGCTTTTGTATTTCTGACTGCTGTCACTGTCATATAATTTCAGAGGATATTTGAATAGATAAGATTACAGAACCTACGATGGGAAGAAAACATCCAGACAGATCTGTATATACTTAACACTGAAAAGCAACTTCATTCTTCACTGATACTTAACTGCTATAACTCTTATATATGGTGTATTACTCTATACTAATATTTTAGGAATCATATGCCAGCTGTCTGATACAGTGGTCAAAGTGTTCTTTTGTTGGATGGAAATTCATAACTGATGATATTCAAGGGTTTTCTGTATTCTGCGTTCATTGCCTTTTGCAGGATGGAATGCCAGAAATGAAGATTTTGGCTCTAGAGATGAGGATGCTCTTAGCATTAATTCACTTTCAGAGGACATAGAAAAGCTTTTGACCAATGTTTGTTTTAATAATCCCATCAATCCTGTTCTTTAGAAGAACACATCTGAAATGAAAGCTGTAGAAAACCACTTATTTTCTGACTTTCCCTTGGAACGAGCAAGAACTCTTCATTTTGGCTGGTCACACATTTCTGAAGAATTTGATTTGTATTGAAAAGTTTGGCTCCTTATGATATTACCTGGGATTGCTCTGAATTAGAATTACTCTAAAGCAGTCATCAGAACTGCTTGTCCTGCAGTATCCTTGATGAGTCTCTTTCCTTCACTGAGCTAGCATTAAACAACCTGTCTTTTGTATAGAAGACTGCAGGTTGCATCAGAACATATATATTAGCATCCTGATGCTGGAAACTGTACCCTCACAATAGAGAGGAATCAAAGCTGCAAGGATTAATTAAGCAACTGAAACACCTGCCTCATTTTTATCTATAGAGGAAGTTTAGAGAGGAAAGAGTCTGTCAGTCAAATCCCAAATTTAATTGTGAAACAGTTTAGATAATCTAGTTTTGATCCACTAGCTGAGCTTAAAAACATGTGGAAATATTTTGATTTCACCTAACTGAAATAAAAATATTTTTCTTTACAGAAATAGGGCATTTCAAACCCCAACAAGAAAATGCTAACACCTTATCTTTTGTTTGATTTCAAAGTATAAAATTAACCATGGAAATGGAATCGGGTTGTAAAGGGTTTAATTTTGCAAATCTTAAAAAGGAAGTGTTTGAAAATTTGTAAAAATTGTAAATTTAAATTTGCATGTCAGGGCTGAAGGTGTTCAAAAATTCGGTGAAAGTATCTATTGCTATTTAGCCTCCCTGAAGCTGCAATTTTTGATAAATATTTATCTCCTTATTTATTTATTTATTTATATTCAGAGCTACCCATAATAAATTTTATAAGGACTGGAAACTTTACTACAACTACAAATGTGGCAATAACTAGTACTTTTTTTTTTTTTTTTTTTTTTTTTTTTTTTTTTTTTAGGGATAAAGAATAGAATCTCTTTGATCATCAAATAAAAAAATAATCATCTTCTAAGGATACTATGTGCATCGGTTCTTTCAGTTATGGCCTGTGATGCTGTGTTTTATGCACTTAAATTACCATTGTAACTAACAGTACACATGATCTACTAAACTTCTAGTATAATATAACTGCACCTATCTTATACCAAATGTTTAAGTGCTTAGAATCAGTGTGTTTAATCTTTCTGATTTCATCATTTTTAACTTGTCTACTGGCAGGAATGGGAAATGCTGTCTTTTGTGTGCATGTTGTGTGCATGTGACAAGGGTTTGGTAGCAGTGGGGCTGCAGGGGTGCCCTCTGTGAGCAGAGCTCAGCAGCTGCCTCAGGTCACATCAGAGCCAGCTCCACATGGCTCCAAAAGGGACCCGTCACTGGCCAGAGCCAAGCCAGTAAGCAACACTGGTTGTGTCTTTAGGAAAAAGAAAAAATAATAAAGTGAAAAAAATGCTGTACAACAGCAGCTGGGAGAGTGAGGAGTGAGAAAGTGCCTTGCAGACACCAAGGTCTTTGCAGGCGGGCAGGAGGTACTCCAGGCACAGAGCAGCAGTTCCCCTGTGGCCTGTGGAGAAGCCCCTGGTGGAGCAGGCTGTCCCCCTGCAGCCCATGGGTCCCACATGGAGCAGATCTCCACGCTGCAGCCCCCCCAAGGGTGGAGGAGCCCCCGGTGGAAGAGGTGGATGTGGCCTGGAGGAGGCTGCGGCCCATGGAGAGCCCCCACAGGAGCAGGTCCCGAGCTGGAGCTGCAACCCGTGGAGAGGAGCCCAGGCAGGAGCAGGGGGTCTGGGGGGAGCTGCAACCCGTGGGAAACCCGTGCTGAAGCAGTTTGCTCCCGGGGGATGGACCCCGTGGTACAGAGCCATGTGGGAGCAGTTTCTGAAGAGCTGCTGCCTGTGGGCAGCCCCTGCAGGCTCAGTTCGGTAAGGACAGCGTTCCGTGGGAGGGACCCCATGTGGAGCAGGGTCAGGGAGTGACCGTGAAGGAGTGGAGATGAAGTGTTTGGGACTGACCACAGCCCCCCCCCCCCCCTCCCCCCGGTCCCCCCATTCCCTAAGGAGCCCCCTGTGCTCCTTAGGCAGAGGAGGGAGAAGCAGGTTGACGGGAAGGTGTTCTTAGTTTGTTTTTAGTTTCTCACTGCTGTAGTCTGCTAGTGATAGGCAATAAATTATATAAATCTCCCTCTCCCTACACTGAATCTGTTTTGCCCATGAGGGTAACTGGTGAGTGATCTCCTTGTTTTTATTTCAACCCTTGAGCTTCTTGCATCCTATTTTCTCCACTTTTTTTCTTTGAGGAAGGGCAGTAAGAGAGTGTTTGTGGTGCAATTCAGCTCCCCAGCAGGGCAAAAGCACTTCAGTGTAAGATGAGAGTTCAACTTCAGAACTGCTAAAAGGCCCATGCAATCATGCAGTGTGTGTCTCTGAAAGGGAAGGGGGGAACCATCAACGTCTGTTGTTGGGATTACTATCAGGAATCCCCACCCAGATCCATCCAAAAGAAAAGTGTTTCTCAACAATCTGAGAAAATGTATGTGCTGCATATTTTACTGCACAGAAACACGGGTCTGACAGCCTGCAGGATAGTAATGTTCAGATGTGGAGCTGTACCTCAGGTCTTCCGTCTTCATCAATAAAATCAAACTGCAGCAGAGCTGGAGGGCCCTGTGGAGCTGTGTTTTCTCCCTCCAAAGCAGCTCACATGCAGTATAACCTACAAGCTAGGTAGGTTTGAACTGGAAAGACATGCCCACACCAAAATGGCCTTGAGAAAATGACTTCACCGTTGAACAATACATGAATTCAAGCCTTTTGCTAGATTCAAAGGAAGGTTGTTTTCAAATATACCTGGAGTTTTGGAGGCTGGAAGGTCTAGTATTTGAAGAGCCATTTGCAATAACACTTTTGGAACTGACTTCTGGATGACTCTTTTATTCCGCAAAACCTGCAGGAGAGTTCCTCTGTCTATCCTAGGGACAGGAAGTATGGAAAAAATACCCTCAAGTATGATAACCAGGCCACACATAAGCATGAATGTACCTAAAAAAAAAGTTTTAATGTGCACAATATTTTACAGATATTTTAAATCAGGCGTGACATTTTTACTTTTGTGCTATTGGTATCATTTGTCAGATTTTTTTTCACCTCTCCATTCAACCAGTGCAGAGAGGTGTTGAAAACCTTTTATAAAAAGAAGTGTGTGTCATATCACTTGGATGTTGATCTGGATTTTCTTTCAGAATCTAATCAAACAACTGCAGTTATAGCTCTGTTCATTACCCGAATAGATAACAAGCATGCCCTTCAGCCATTGCTGCACTTGCATATTTGAAACATACATATTGACAATTGTAAGATGTGTTAGAATACTCATAATGAACAAAAAGCCTGATCGAAAAAGTGGGTGGTACCCTATTCAGTGAGGTGTTACACGCACTTAATCAATAGGGCATGGAGGAGGGAGGTCATTTTTATTTCCTAAATTATCTTGTTAATTTATATGTGAATCAGACATTCATTAGCGTTTAAATAATTTCTGACATGTAAGACACTCCCCTATTTCCGTGAGGTTTTGACACAGTTTCATTGAATATCTTTTTATAACCTGAATCTATAAATTTGTTTTAACCATTTCTACATATTCTGTCAGCTGTGGGCGAACTGTCAAAAATTTAGAGGCTTGTTTTTATTTAAGCACTCAAATGCACACATTTATGAGGATCATATGCCCTGGTTTGGACCTGAACAAGGCATTTGCAGTTACATTTTTTAGAGGCAGATAACAAACACTCTGGAGTGGCTGGTGTGAAAACTTCTGCAATAATGTCTGCTGCAAGCAACTTCCCAAGTAGGCAAGCAGAAAAAGGATAGAAAAAATACTGTGTCTGCCTTAAAGGCTAGAAACTGAAGAAGGAAAGTTTTGAGTCCCCAGAGATCAGGGAGGAAGCCTGCAGTAGACTACTTGAATGTTAAAACTTCTATTTCTAGATGCCTCATCCCAGGTGTGAAAGCACTCTTTATGCTGATTTGAATTTTACTGGGAGAGCTGAAACTCATAATAGAAAGCAAGTAAAGTCATAGATAGGAAAATGACAGGCTCAGCCTTTTTATCTGGATTCAATTGCATATTTTGGACCTGATTTCTATTTCAAGGCCATTTATTACATAAATCAAAAAAACTTCTGGATATCCTACTAGAACCTGAACAGAGGTACTGTTCTACCAGTTGCCCTGTTAATATCTGGGTTTCTGAAGGAGTGTGAAATGTCCAGCTGTTTTAAAGATCATCTGGGATTTCTTCATGTTATTTCAGTCTTTTGAACTGTTTATACTTTGTATAAACATCAGTTTCTACTTAAAGCTGTATCTAAATACATGTGAAGGCTTCTGTCACAGTTGGTCCATGACATCTGGTACTTGGTTTACAAGAGTAGAGCCCAAGGTCCGCTACCACATCCCTGCGTTTAGCATATGGATATATGGATAGTTTGCAGGAGGAACAAAAAGAAACAAAAGAAGCATACATGTATCCTTTTGTTTTATAGGGAAGGACAAAGAAAACAGCTATGGCATAATAGACCTTGAAGTACATCAGCTGCAGCATCTCTTGAGAAAGACTTGATCATGTTTCCTCCCATCAGCTACCCAGCTGTCCCTTGCCTTGCTACAGCTGCATGAATAAAGGATTTTTTTTTTCTATCCTGAAAAGTTCTGAAAAAAAACAAAGAACAACAACAACAAAAAAAAAAAAGCACCTTTTGAGGTCAAGCCAAGACTAATTTTAGCTTGATGGTTAATGAAAATTGTTGTTTTTGTGTTTTTTTTTTAAACAACAAAAAAGCACTTAAGCAAAACATTACTTTTGACTAGGAGTAAAACATTTAGTTTTCAAGCTTTCTCCTCTTTAGAAATGTTGTTATGAAAAACATTTTGAATAGTGAAAAAAATGAAGATTTCTATTTTTTTTCTCAGTATATTTCCAGTCTCAGACCTATATGAAGTTTTTCACCTGTGTTTTAATGCAATTGTGAATAAACCACTGCATGTTTGTAAAATCTTGCAAGTGTTCCCACAATTATGTCTTCCTTTGAAAATAATCCAACATATCAGCCACATGTTGATTTTATTCCTGGTTTACTTATCTGTGCTGTGTTTCTGACTAGCCCAGTAACTGAAATTTTCTTCCAAAAACAATCCCTCCACCCCCTTATTTTTGAGTAGGAAAAAAAAAAATAAAATTAAATATACCACCAAATCCTTCAGCTTTCAGGATCTCAGAATAAAACCATTCATCCTCTGTATTCAGTCAGTAATAGGCAACTTTTGGTCCAGCTCTTGACCTTTTCCCTTCTGTAATTGATAGTTTTGGGTCCTGAAATTTCTGCAGTGCCTTGGTGGTCTTCTGCCCTGTGACTTACTCATCTTCCAAGTCCTAAAACCAGCTGCCTAAAGAAAGGGGGAGATTATCAAAGTGGGTAACTGAATTTCCTTAAATAATTTTTAAATTCCCAGTGTAAGAACATTAATGTAACTCAGACACTGTAAGACAGCATTAAAGACTTATTTTTTCTGAAAAGGCTTTAAAGCTTAAACAAACAAACAAACATTAAAATAGACTAAGGAGCTGAATCTTCCCTTATAAATGAGCATTACCCAGGATTTGCTTCCAATCCCACTACTGGGCTTTTGTAGTTTCCTGCATTTCAAATAAAGCCTGTCTTGCCCATTTTCTTCAGGTGAGGAACTGTGCATGCCAGTGTTGGCTTTTCTATCATCCTTATTAGTCTTATATGAAGCAGCTGTTACCTCTTTCTGAGTAGCAAGCAGGTTGCCAGACAGCCTGAGGGGCTAACCATCTGACATCCATATTTTGTTCTCAATAGGTCCATGACTCATGCTTTCAGGGGAATACAGTCGTAGATAGGTTTTGCCTCCTTTTGTGCGGATGATAGATGCAGTTTCATTTCCTACCACAGCTGGACAACCAGGATGGTTGCATTTCATTTTCAAACAAAACTCAAGCAAAACTATTTTGCTGCACTTTCATTTGTTTGTAACATGTGCTCAAGGAACATTACACAAATTTCCCTTTAGATCCTTAAAATGAAATCAATTACTTAAAGACAGTTTAGTTTAGGAATAAGAAAAAATGAATAAGAAGGAGATTCCTAGTGAAGGCTTCAAGGAGGTTTTTAACATCATGGTTTATGGTAGGGGGAGAAAAGGATGTTATTATTTGTATTGTAGTGGTGCCCATGTGCCTCAACATGTGGATGCTGCAAGTTCCTTGTTCTCCAGGACAGCCTACTGTCTTGGCAAGAAAAGTGTTGTGTGGGAAGCAGACTAGAAGGGTGAAGTGATGTGCTCTGGGGCAGTCTGCAAAGCCAAGTGTAAGCAACCACCTTTTATTTCACTTGCCTCAGGTTGACTGCCTAGAAAAATATTTTTCAAGGAAAAGTTGAAAAAATTAAAGCCCTGACAATCCTAACAAAAAGAGAATTGAAATCTGTAGAGGAACCAGCAGAAATAACCTTTCTGGGGGGGCATTTTCCGGCCTTTTTTCTCTTTTTTTTTTTTTCCTTCAGTTTCATGCAAGCTTCTCAATTCTTGTCGATACTTCAGATCCATATCTCTATCTCTTAATTTATTCTTCTCAAAAATCATATTTATATCAAGGCAACTAGAATCACCCCTTCCTTTACTGATTTTTTCTCCTCTACTTAATCCCTTCCCATGTTTTCACTTTCTCTCCTATACACTATGTACATTCCTTGACCTTGAAACATTCCTTTGTGCTCTGAATTATAGAGTCTATGCATTGTTACAAATTGGCATAAGCAGTGTGTAAGAAGTAAATTCCATTGATGAATTGATTCTGAAGGTACCCTCTTTGACTTATGAGCTATGCAAATTAAAGAAGAGACAAGGAATGTTTTTGACTTTCAGTGCACCCAACTCTGTTCATATGACTGAACTGCTCTGAATCACAGCCAGCTGTGGGATGGCGAGTTCAACACTGATATATTGAAAATGAAAGAATGAAGCTGCCTCAACAATTCATCTGTAGATTAAATTAAAAAAAGAGAAATAAATCACCATAAACAAATCACTATAAATAATAAGATAATTTAAAGCATTGTCAGGTCCATTTGATTATTTTAAAATTGTATTAATTGGGAAATGAAAACTTAATAATGACTGCTATTTTAATACAGGCTTACATTTACACATCCACCCTGCTTCTGTGTATCTCCCACTTTCCCACTGTGTCAGAAGAATGAGTGGGCTTATTTGGAGTCTTAGGGTAAAAAAAAAATAACCATTTCTCTTCTTTTCTCCACATCCCAGCTGTACATTTGCACTTGGAATAATTTTTCTGAGCTTCAGCAAAGCAGATATTTGGAAAATAGATACTTCACTCCCTATATCATCTTCTTCCCTGAGCAGACACACATTCTCAGCCCTTTTTTTGAGTTATGATTAATGCATTTGTTTAAAAATATTGAGTGCCTCTTCTATCAGCCTCTCAGCTATAATTTAGAACCCTCTTCTTCACTTCAGACAATGGTATTTATTGTGAAGTAGATTCAACATTGTGTAAATCAGAGGAGTTTTAAAAGATGAATGCATAGCTTTTTGCACCAAAAACCCCAAGTTCTTGGGATGTTCTGATCAAAACCATCACTTCTTTTTCAGTCCAACCATAGTGCAGCCAAAGCATAACCTAGCATTGATGCTAGATAGCTTATTTTGAATTATACAATTTCCTAGAGAATGCTTTTTTGGTCGGTGTTCAATGAACTCTGTCCAGTGGCTGCATAAACAGTTTCTTTGGTATGAACCTGGGTATGTAAATGGGATAGGATTGCAATGAGACTGATAGTGTCTGCTTAGGGAAAGAGGATTAAAGGTTCTCTGCTGGGACTAGCTCCTAGAGAAAAAAAGCTTCCTTAATGACAAGCTTAAGGGGCTGATAAATCCATAACATAGCTATGGGCTATTAGTTGACAATTATGTTTCACCATCCACAAGTTAAGTGTGGAAGATTCTGATTCAAAGATAGTGGAGAGGTCCATTGATTTTAGTACAATTTGCATGCATCTCAAGATAACTGGGTCTCCAGAACTCCAGGAAATAGCACCAAAACAAACTATTTAAAATAGAGGGAAAAAGGTGCTTACAAGAGTGAACTAAAAAAGAAAGGAAAATGCAAACAAGTGCAAGTGATCCAGAAATCAAAGGTTTGAGTCCAAATTCTTGATACTTCATGCTATTTACCTATTTACCATAACCTATTGATGTGGTCTCTGCATCAGAAGTCCATTTACATTGTAAAGTCTAGAAAGTAACTGAAGATTCTCATTTTTATCTATGTCACAAATGGATTGCATAAAAATAAGTCAAAACTTTGGAGTTCACTGTTCAGATTTGCTTCCCTGATTTTTATTTCTTCCCCTCATTCTTTCAAACTACAGTTGATGTGAATTTACTGCAGCAAAGTCACAAAAAGAAAAACAAAACAAAACAAAACAAACTCACTCACATGACCCTATATGTTTATTTATTTATTTATTTATTTATTTATTTATTGCTCTTTAATTTTATGGGATGATTTGTCATTCTGTCATAGTGGAGATCACGGGAAGACCCAATGAGTCCAAATTTGTCATTCTGATCTCTGTTGTATGTGAGAACACTGTCAGTCTGCAATAGATGTTACTTGGTTGGTATTTTTTGAGAGAATACTTTTTACTTTTCTAGCATTCTCTGTTATTAAACTCTCTAAAACATTTACAGTAGTTTAGCTTCTAAAAGAAAATGCATGCCTTGTAATGCCCTGGAAACGAATAAAATTGAAAACTGAAAAAGACAAAAGCAGCAGCTGTGAGCTGTGGTCTGCGGGTTGCTGGGGACTCCCTGAAGCATGACATGCAGACATGCCAGAAAGGGCTCTTGTTCTTCTGGATAGTTGACATGTATTCTACACTGGAAAACTGATGCAGGGAGACTGAGCAGATATGCAACTTGTTACCCTGCGGTGTGTCCAGCTAACACAGTGGGTGAACAGCTTCTGACTGAACAGCAAGGTTTTGCTTGGGTATGTTCTGTAGTTGTGAAGAAGTCTGTGATGCATGTTCTAGAAGTTATTGTATTTATTGTATTTCTCTATCATTTGTGTAACTGCCTTTCTCAGCCCCCCAAAGTAAGAAGAAGAATGAAATTCTGGGATCCAGACAAAGTCTCTTAATATTTTTCATCCATGATAGCTATACATACGGAGGGGTTTTGTATTACGCTAATAGGTGAGGCTAAAAACATACCACCTGGCAGGGCCATATTATTTTCACTGCTCAGCACAATGCTCAGCACTATAAATTGAGTGATTAGCACATCAGTGAAGAAAAATATAACAATAAATGCAAATGTCCTTACAGCTCAAGTGGCAACAACTGTGGGTTAGTGCCTTTTTCTATGCTTATGAGAGACACCATCCGAGTATATTCATTGGCATGTAAATACATTCATGACATTATTATAATGACATTCTGTGACAGTTTGTTTGTCTGGAAGCGCTGAATACAGTATTTTAAATACTCATTAAAGAGATGATATGACAGCTCTCCCCCTTGCCTGATAGTTAGAGCACTGTTCTTGCTCTGGGAAACCTTGGTTTGAGCAAGGAAGGTAGACATTCATTATGAATTTCTGAGACAGGTTCTCTCTTCCCTTCATCAGGCTGTGCAGTAGAGCAAAACAGGTCTCTTTTAAGTACCCCTTAGTCTAAAGTACAAAAATATTTACCAAGACAGAGTGAGGGAAAAAAAAACTCATAGTCTTTGACTATTATCAGGAGAAAAAAGGTTTTCTGGAGTTCCATTCCCTTTGCCAATTTATATTTCTACAGCTGGAGCTCCCCAACCTGCTCTGAATGCTAGCACAATTACACAGAGGCTGTGGATTTAAATCTTGTTCAGACAGAGGATACAAATCTGAATTTCTGCAGTGAATACCTTAACTACTGGCATTTTCAATAAAATAGGATGCTTCCTCTTGGTCTTTTTAATTTATTTTAAAAATACTCAACAATGCTATTTATTTATTTATTTATTTATTTATTTATTTATTTACTTATTATTTTAATTCAGTCAAAGGAAATATTTAACTTGACAAAACTGTTTTGATTTGTTTCTTTTTAGAACATTGCTCTTTATTCCTCTCTCTATCTCCCACATTTCATGTACACCTGAATTTAAATTCTTCCAATTTCTTTTAATGGATCTGAGGTTTTGAATAAAGTGAGGTGTTCATTTCTCTTCCCTAAGACTGATCTTGGACCTCATAATCTGAGAAAATGTGGTAGAGACTGCGTTAAATTGGCAACATCAGTAGTAATCATTAAAATTAAATGCATGTTTGTGGCAGTCCCCAGCAATGTGAGCAACCTGATTCAGAAAGGAGCAGATTTGAAGTGCTTGTGTTGTGCCTCAGAAATGACAGTGCTGAAGCCATTGGCTACTGCATACAGAAATCACAAATCCCTGTTCATGAGATCTGCTAGCCCAGGTGGAGCCATTCTTTACATCTCTGTGTTTATCTGAAGTTACCTGCTTTGCTTCAGTGTGTAATGGTGATTTGAATGTCTCATGTTTGCTTCTTTGGTTTCCTTGATTGTAGGCAAGCAGGTTGCATAGATACATAGATTGTGAAACAACTGTGCATTTGCTCAGTAAGCTCTCTCCTCTGGGTTT